ATGATGTTCGTATACATCATTCATAGTATTATACCTCATTTATTATAAAGGGTGATCATAATTAAAGAGTAGGATTCAAAGCTCTCTGTAGGAAGAATTATTGGGTCAATCTCAATCAAATTCGGTATACATACTGTCCCGGATATGCGGTTTCTATTTTCTGTAAAAATATTTACTTCAAAATTCATTCTCTAGGAAGAAATATAGTGCTGCTCTCTCCTTAAGGGGCATATTACGGATGTTTTATAACAAATTTCGAGTATAAAAGGAGTCGTAAAGCGTTCTTCGCGATTCTTCGAAAGGTGAACTCATGGTGCTTAATTTGCCTAATCGCCCACTAATTGCATACTCCACATTTGTAATAGCATTTGTACTGAAAATAAAATTATTGCACTTTGTTTTTTAATTCCTGAAATTTGTATTTTGCCTTGTTTACGTGTTTCATGTGTTTTGCTGTTATTTTGTTTTTAGTGAGTAATTATTTGTTGTATTGTGGTTAATAACCTTTATAAACCTTGCCTAGACGACATACAATATTTAAACACATAACAGAGCAAACTATCGTATAACAACAGAGATAATTGAAAATTTTGTCTTCGTGTGTTTCGTGTTTCCTGTTTATATCGAAATCTAACTGAAATATATAGGATAGGACAAATGGGATACGGCCACGCAACGTCAGGGCAATCTGTCAAGAGGGCCTCCCGAATGGATATTCTACAGGAAACTGGTTTCTATTTAGGTTGTTAGATACGTGAAGAAACCGAAAAACTCTCGTGGGTTCGCACCTGACCAACGGACTGGCCACATCCGTTGGTCAGGTGCGAACCCACGACTAACGGTTTTATTAATTCAGCTACCGTGAGCACGCAGAGGCGATCTTACTGCTCTGGATGATCCGGATTAACTTCCGGCGAGCAACTCCGCAGGAATTATTCTTGAGCGGATTATCTCGGATATGTCCATTACCACTCCTATTGTGGGCCTGGCTGAACTCATAATGGGCTTGAAAAAAGACCATCTTGGTATCTGCAGAGAAGAAGAGTTTAAAAAAAAAANAAGTGTCTGTTTATCTGTTCTTTTATCAAACAATGGATAGCAGTGGCTTACCATTAATTACAAAGTTTAATTTTTTTTTAAATTGTGCTTTTTAAAACGTTAAATAACTTTATTCAATAGAATAATAATTTGTTGGAGTTTTTATTATATATTTTTTTTAATTTTATAAACTCATTTCGTGTTGTCGCTAGTTGCGTGTGTAACAGGATCGCGTTACACTTTGCATGCTATCAATTGGCTAACAAATTTGATTATACGTACAGATAATATCAATTTATAGAAGAGGAAACTAAGTCGGATGTTAGCCAGACATCTTGACCTCAAAAGCTATTGTTTTCGTGCAAGAAACAGACTTAAAAAAACAAAAAAAGGGGGGAACGATAACACGAACGGAAAACAAGGAGAAGAAAAATAAAATAAAATAATCGCTTAAAAGCAAATTCAAAGTTATAAATTTTTATTTTAAATTCTTTAATTATATATGTATTATTATATATATATATATTGTTCCTACTGTATCCATCCTGGTGTAGTGTGCATCCACCGAAGCCGGAATGGATAACCCATTGAAAGTCGTGGGTTCGTGCCTCATCTACAGCTATCCACCTGAAGTTTCCTGGGTTTATTTACCTGTCTAACACCCAAATAGGAGCCAGTTTTCTGTAGAAAGACCTCCTAGAAAGTATTCCTCCTTGGCATCCCATCAAGTCTATGAGCATTAAGAGGGCCTTTTTGCTTCCATACTTATCGTAGATTTGGCTAGGCCCATTCAGAATGGGAATGGCCGGTTGGGAAAGATAAGGACAAGCTGGGGGGTGTTCTTAAATTCGATTTCGAGTCCCCCAAAGTAGTAAACTGCCTCGTCTATTCCGCCGTCATTATTACGATTTACATAAAATATTATACAGTATTTCTAATAAAATTACAAATCGTTAATTAAGTACTGTAATTTTACATTTTGTAAAATTTTATTTAATTAAATGCTCGTTTATATTCTTAAAGGAGGATAAATGAATTACGAAATGAAATAATTGAATATTTTAAATTAAATAAAAATAACCTTTTGATTTTTTTTTATTTAATTTCTCATAAAATTTACTTATAAATTTTTGTTTTAATTGACGAAATGTTACAATTTCTTCCAACAAACTGCTGCTTAAGCTGAACATAAAGCAAGTATTTGATCTTTTGTAGTTTTTATATCGAAAACTTACAATAAATTATAATTAAATTTGATTTTTTTCACGGATTTTAATGCTTTAAACAATGATCAGTTGTAAGAAAAATCGAAATTTCTACATATATTTATCATTAGAAAATCTCAGAAACATTAGTAAATTGACAATATAACAATTTTTCATCTGAGGGGATGATTCAAATCGGCTTTTTTGGGGGACAGATAAAAAAATTTAAGAAATTTCTTTCTTTATTTTTTCATATATGAAATGAAACGTAAACTTATCCAGTTACTCGACTTGATATGGATTGGAGAGTACATTTGAAGTAAAGAGGATTGCCTGATATGAAGAGAGACAGAGATGACATATTCGATCTGGCTAGAATATATCGACTTTCTGAACATCAAAGCTACACTTTCGGGGGGAGGAAACAGATTTCTGTCAATTGGAATCGAATAAATTACATTAAAATTTCTCCACTCCTTACAAAAAACTAATACGCGAATAAATTAATTAAATTAAATTAATACGAATGTAATTTGTATTTTTTTTTTAATTATCGAGATGTTTATTCGTAAACAATTTGTATGTAGAAATATATTTTTAAATAATTATTATCTACTTTTCTACTAGGAAAAAATTTCTCAATAAAGAGTAATTTTCCTTGTTACTAAGTTGTACTTTTATTTTTAGTTTATCGTTATCATGTGGCATTTATGAGCATATTTTTATTATTAATAGCTTCGGGCCCCTCGTAGAAGAGAAAAGTCAGCTTCCCTTCTCTCACCTTTGAGAGGCCCTAGGAGACCCGAGTTTCGGAGGCCCCGAAATTGGAAAAAATAAAGCAATTTTACCGTTGCAATTATATACCGTAATTTATAAATAACGATATATATTCTATTGCTACAATTAGACGTTATTAGTTTCTGATTAAAATTATGTAGAGGATCTTCAACATTCTGTGCCTAGGGCCCCGAAATCTCTTAATCCATCACTGGTCAGGGCAACTTACGTTTTTTGACACCCCGGTATATTAATAAGTGTATTATATTGTTTAAAATAATAAAATTTGATTAAAATATTAAACTAATTCAGATATAAACAAGTAATTATTTTTTAGCAAATGTTTCTGAGGCCTTCGTAAATGCGAGGCTTCATTAAATGATGCTGCTGGCCTTAGGGCCTGGAAGAGTTTATAATATTTATTATATAATTAAATATAAACAGTGTATAAAGGTTGTACGGTAGGCTTACAGATTATTTCGTTTCCATCCTGAAAGGTCAATGAACTTGTAAAAGCAATTCTTTTGTAGTTATCTACGAGGAAAAAATTTTTATTAAATTTTTAATAAAAAATATAGTTTTTATAACGAAAATAATTTATATTTTTGATTTTTTTTTTATTAAATTAACAAATTTAATCTGTAAGTATCAAAATAAAGATTTAAAAACATAATTATATTGTAATGAAGCTATTGTAATGTCTTACATTTCATTAATAATAGTTCAAAAATTATATTTTCTAATGAAAAATTTGAGTTTTTTAAAATATAATTTCAAAAAATTAATTAATGTTTTCGGGCTGAAATGATAAAGTGTCTGTTTATCTGTTCTTTTATCAAACAATGGATAGCAGTGGCTTACCATTAATTACAAAGTTTAATTTTTTTTTAAATTGTGCTTTTTAAAACGTTAAATAACTTTATTCAATAGAATAATAATTTGTTGGAGTTTTTATTATATATTTTTTTTAATTTTATAAACTCATTTCGTGTTGTCGCTAGTTGCGTGTGTAACAGGATCGCGTTACACTTTGCATGCTATCAATTGGCTAACAAATTTGATTATACGTACAGATAATATCAATTTATAGAAGAGGAAACTAAGTCGGATGTTAGCCAGACATCTTGACCTCAAAAGCTATTGTTTTCGTGCAAGAAACAGACTTAAAAAAACAAAAAAAGGGGGGAACGATAACACGAACGGAAAACAAGGAGAAGAAAAATAAAATAAAATAATCGCTTAAAAGCAAATTCAAAGTTATAAATTTTTATTTTAAATTCTTTAATTATATATGTATTATTATATATATATATATTGTTCCTACTGTATCCATCCTGGTGTAGTGTGCATCCACCGAAGCCGGAATGGATAACCCATTGAAAGTCGTGGGTTCGTGCCTCATCTACAGCTATCCACCTGAAGTTTCCTGGGTTTATTTACCTGTCTAACACCCAAATAGGAGCCAGTTTTCTGTAGAAAGACCTCCTAGAAAGTATTCCTCCTTGGCATCCCATCAAGTCTATGAGCATTAAGAGGGCCTTTTTGCTTCCATACTTATCGTAGATTTGGCTAGGCCCATTCAGAATGGGAATGGCCGGTTGGGAAAGATAAGGACAAGCTGGGGGGTGTTCTTAAATTCGATTTCGAGTCCCCCAAAGTAGTAAACTGCCTCGTCTATTCCGCCGTCATTATTACGATTTACATAAAATATTATACAGTATTTCTAATAAAATTACAAATCGTTAATTAAGTACTGTAATTTTACATTTTGTAAAATTTTATTTAATTAAATGCTCGTTTATATTCTTAAAGGAGGATAAATGAATTACGAAATGAAATAATTGAATATTTTAAATTAAATAACAATAAACTTTCTGAAGATTATTTCAATTTTAACTCGTTTGAATGTAAGTGTAAGTGTATTAACAGTAGTATCACGTGATTTACACGTCCTTGATTGCGTTATGCTGTACACGTTTATCAACTCACTTATCAGAAATTTCATACTTGGTCTGGACTGTTTCTATTTTGTAATAAGCTCAAAGAACGATGAACTACAAAATTAAATTCGTTTGTAATTATTGTCGATGTTTAAAACTATATAAATTACGTCTACATGGATTATATTTATGGATTTCGTAAAATGTAAGTAATTTTACAGCCTGATTAAGTATAGAACAGTATCAGATATACTTGTAATTTACAGCTGTTTCGTGGATATAATTACTTCTATTATCTAGAGTTGTACTGTTATAAACACGTATACATGATTAAATAAATAATTCATTTGTTTCTAGGCTCTACTTTTTCTGATATCATAGTAGTATAAATATTGTATTATTTCGAATTTATACGTACCCAACTTTTAGGAAATTTTAGGAAAATATTCGATGATAATTAAGAGTTTAAAATAAGTTTTTTTAAAAGTAAAAGTCTTAATGTTATATATAAATTAGAATGTAATTAACAGACCTTTAAAGTATGACGAAGAATACCTCGAATTATAAGACTCATCCTTGCTTATATACATGGATTTTAATAGACTAAATGTAGTTTTAGCGTTTATTAAAGAATAAAAAACGTTAATAATGTATTTGAAATATGTATAAAATGCAATAAACATTTTTATTATATTTAGATTTCCTATAGGTGACAAAGAATACTTAGAATTTAAGTAGCACTTCCATTTTTAAAAAGGAATTTTATGGGACGTAGAATTTAAAAGAGTTATAAACTATAGATACAGTTTAAATGAATATATTAAAGATTTACAACGCTAACAATGCATTTAAAATAAAATATAATTAACAGAAAATATAAAATAAAGACGTAATCTCAAATTTTCATTGTATAAACTTTTGACAAGTTTAAGACATACCCCAACTTTAAATCAAGAAACATGTGAGAAAGATCACATGGTTCTTACTCGAAAGGGGAAAAATAAATCTTAAATTTGAAGTAATACGTTATTATAATTTTTAAGCACATACAGTACAAGGTACACAGTTCTATGTAGTGCTTATGCAAGTACAGTGCAAAGTATAGAATCCTTATTAAGTAAATTAGGCCTATAAGGTATACACTTCATAACTGTAATTAGTCTATAATAAGAAATAACATTTAAATAAAGGTTTGAATTATTTTACAATTGCAAAGTATTTTAGATATTTAAGTTTTAACTTAAAAAATCATGATTAAATAGTTGAATAATTTCTTGTTTTAGTAAGTTTACTAATCGGTTTAATCAGTTTAACTTAATTATTGTAAACTACAATGTTAATAATTAATTATAAGTTTTTAAATATATGCATACCTATAAAATGTTAAGACAACAGAACATTAATTAATCTTATTAATATAGGTGAAAGGTCTGAGATTAACGCGACGCAATGGCGCGATTCGCGTCGTGTCGAATGAGACTAGTCTAACCTCTGAACAACGGCCACTAATAGAGACATTAAAAAATGACTTTATTTGGAGGTTATTTTGCACGCATTTCCGAAAAATGGTCGTCATTTACAGGTGGCCGTTGTTGGAGGTTCGATTGTACAGTACATAGATGATAACTTTATAAAAATGTAATTTTTTAATAGGATATTACTGAATATTATAGAAAAGGATGCGAAGGAATACAATAAACCTGTAAAATAGGTACACTAATGAAGACTAAATAAATAAATAATAATAATAATAATAAAGTCTCCTAGAAAGTTTGTTTATAATTTAATTAAAGAAAATATAATTATTTTATATTTAATTATTATGTTTTATACATTTTGTTTTAAATATTTTAATATAGAATACTTTTTAAAGTGGTATTCTTTTACTTTTTTTACAGATTTTATAATTATTTTTATTTATATTCGAACTTCGAACGCGGAAATGATGGGATTTTGTGAATATAAAAGCGATTCATTACTGGCATGTACAAGAGTAAGCATCGACTATGCAGTAAAAACAGCAACTAGTAACATAACATACATCCAGATACAATCAACTCCTCAAAAAGTATTATCTATACCATTTAAAGAATATATACCTGCTATAGAGACAGTGGACATATCAGGAGAATTAGAAATAATAAGAAACAATACCTTTTCCGGTTTATCAAGTTTAAGGGTAGTGTTATTGGTAAAGAATCGATTATCTCATCTAGAAGAAGGTACATTCTGTAACTTGGATAATTTAAAAATAATAAGATTAGTTAATAACAAGTTTACTACTTTATCCGATTTAATACCAGCTATTAAATGCCTAGATTTGAATAAGTTGCATTTATCTGAAAATGCTTTGTTGCAAAGTATTACTTCTAATGAAGTTGAGCAAATACAGGATATTCGGGTCAATGAACTTGATCTTACAAACTGTGCCATACGACGAATCGATGATAACGCTCTGACTGGTTTAAACAATGTGAGGAAATTGCTTCTTACTGGTAACCCATTAGATTATGAGGGATTAAGAAACGTATCTTATGGACTATCTAAGACGTCAGTACGTTCACTAATTGCACGTAGATTAAGTAATAATACTTTCATAAAGTCTGATGTACTAATGCCACTTTCTAATGGTGCTCTAGAAGTTTTGGATATTGGTGAGAACCGTCTGGTTGTCTTTCCGTATTTGTTAGATTTTAAAACGCTTCGAGAGCTTGTCCTTTTTCGTTGCGAGTTAATTGAACTAAATGGCTACGAAATATTTGGCATATCAAATTTACAAACACTAGACTTAAGCGATAATAAATTGAGACGGATTATTTTTAATGAATCTGATTATGGGTACAGGATACATAATCTAGATTTAAGTTATAATGGTCTTAAATTTAAATGGGATTTTACATTACCTAACGCAATTTTTACAATCTTGCCAGATTTAGAAAGGTTAGACTTAACTAATACTCTATTACCACCTACATTAACTGATCTCATTTTTACAGGCAACAATAGTCTTAAAATAGCCAAGTTAGCAGGCTGCTCAATAAAAAATATACAGAATTATGCATTCAAGGATTTAAATTACCTTACTGATTTAACTCTAAATTATAATAAAATAAACAATTTAAGATCTGAGATGTTTTATGGATTATCGAATTTAGTTGTTTTATATTTGGGGTATAATTTAATTGATAATTTTAACTCTTCTGACATATTCATTCATCTTGTCAGTTTGGAGATTTTAGACCTCTCATGGAATAATATTGTTCAATTAGAACCTGTATTTAAACCTCTAAAATCTCTAGAAGTTCTTATCTTGGATAACAATAGAATTATACATTGGAACGATAGCATTTTAACTAATAACACCAATATCACCTACTTTCGCGTAAGTGGAAATGATATCGTGTATATTACTCCTGCTATGCTGCAAGATTTTAGTACAGTAAAGAATCTGGACTTCTCTAAAAATAAGTTCGACTGTATGGATTGCAACATTACCATTCTACAAAATTGGCAAAGGAGCACAAGTGTCATTCTCGAAAGTAAGTTAGAAGATTACACGTGCATCACCCCATCAGGACAGAAGGAAAGAATATTCGAATTCGAAAATAGCCATTGTTATCCTAAAGAAAAAGGAATAAATATATTATTGATATCCGGAATGAGTAGTTGCGTGCTTTTAATTATCTTCGTAATTTTAATCTCAGTAAAATTTAAGTGGCACATACGTTATTACAGATGTATCTTGATGTCTAGAGTAAAGAGGTATCGTGAATCCAATGATAGTAACTCATATATGTACGATGCGTTTGTTTCTTACGATTCATTAAATAGTGAATGGATAATTAATCAGTTATTACCGACTTTGGAAACGGAGAAAACACAAATAAAATTTTGTTTGCACGATCGAGATTGCTTGGCTGGTAACGATGTTACGGAAGAAGTGTTCGAGTACGTGCAGAAGTGTAGAAAAATTATATTAATAATTTCCGATTCTTATATCAAAAATCGTTGGTGCATGTTTGAATTACAAATGGCCCAACACAGATTATTTGAAGAGAGGAGAGATTCTCTGATATTGATCTTTCTAGGATCAATACAGGAATTACAACTTCCTAGCAATCTTAAGTACTTAATGAGTACTAGAACTTATATCCCGTGGACAGACCACCCAATGGGGCAAAAGTTATTTTGGAAAAGACTTATAAAAGCATTGAATAAACCAGACACGTTAAAGCTCAATCGGATTGTATAGGAGTTAGTAATGATGTAACGAGACTAAACAAATGTTAGTATTGTAATTAATTTGTAAATAAATTTATACATTGTCTTTTTATTTAAAAAAGTGTGCAATTTATGTTTAAACCGTAGCGCATTAAGTAAAGAATCGATACGTCTGTCTGTAGTGCTGAGTTCGAGACCCGATGGCCTTGACATTGATGCATTAATGCAACATTTTCTCTCTTAGCATCTCTTAAAGCGCATCCTCGTTGACTTTTGTACAGTCAGTGAAAAAGTTACCGAAGGGAATACAGTATTAAAAATAGTTGCTGTTTACGGGTTGCCATTGTTGAGAGGTTGCTGTTAATGGACGTTCGATTGTATATGATTTTAATTGACTATTGAGATAGAGAGCAGACGTGCTTCATTAATAATATAATTTACGTTATTATATGTAAACAGTTTTTATACGGACGATGTATAGAATTGTGTATGCTTAAGTTACGTGTCTAATTTGTATTATAGTTTATAACATATAAACTATATAGAAAATATATAACAGTTCCGAAATCATTCGTAATTTATATTAAAATAACTCGCGACTTTTAAAAATAATTTAACATTTAGAAATTCACGTAGTATTAAAGGATATGTGCTTATTTTTAGGGGAAATCAGTTTAGTGTATTTATTGGCGCTTTACTAGGGTAACGCTATTTAGAACGGCGCTATATCAACAATAAATTTGGTGTTGGCGTTATTTTAATACAAAATTCTTTTATACTATAGCTTTATTCAGAATAAAGTGTATTGTTTGTTCTATTTGATGATGATTTAATATCGTACGTGACGTAGATATAACAACAATGATTATGTGTCGCAATTTACGAATAAACTGATTAATTCTGTAAGATGCGATCAAAAACTATGACAAGCATTCTTTAACGTTTATTATTCATGTAACGTTATACAAAATTTACACCTAACATACATAAATGATCTTCGGTACAAGGATCAATGTCGTACATTATTATGGAGAATAAACATTAAAATTAACGTAACCCAGTGACACATTCACTAAGGAGCCTTAGTAAGCCAAGGAGCCTTAGCACCCTCCAAAGTAAGAGAAAAGAAACCACTAATAAATTTTCAAAAAATCTTTACATAATTAAAATTCAGTTTTATTTATATTATGCCGTGTCTTCTATTTTTATTTTATTTATTTATTCTATTTATATATTACTAATTACTAATGAATTAGCGGTTACATAAGGTGGAAATTTTATTCCATTTGCTCATTTTTTTATTCGTTTAACTCGGCTTCCCCAAAATTAAATCTTGAGTGAGTCACTGGCGTAAACAGGTAGGGGTCTGGAGAACCCTGGAGAACTCTTTAACTCTGTAAATAAATAAAATAAGAAAAAAGTCAAATAAGTACAGGGAGAAGAGTTGAATGTGACAAATGCACTTATCTTAAAGTACAGTACATACAATATCTAAGAGTTTACTGTTCATCTATAGCGCTACTACCTACATTCACAATGATATAGGGATGAATGCAGTGTTGTTTATTTAAACTTGTTGTGGCCCTAAGCCATAACATTAGTTGTAATAGGTCCTTTCTCTACACCAAATACTGATAGATTTAAAAATGCGAGGCCCTAAATATAGACTTTGAGGCAATAGACTCATAAAGTGAGACACGTAGCTTATTTTGCTTTTTTGCAAATCTGGTCCTGGGTGGATATAGCTTCTCACGTTCTAATTCTGGTCTCCCTATTATCGATTCTAGTTACGACTCTTCTAGAAAGAAAACATACACAATTGTAATTATACAGTATTTAACTCATAAAAGTAACGTTGGGTAAAGTCAAGATTAAAGTTAAAAACAAAATAAAATAATTACTTTTGTTGTATAATTGTAATAATAATTGTGATAGATTTAAAAATGTATCTTTTTACATAAATCTTTGAGAATGTCAATAAATTGATTTCCGTTTATGAATATCTCACTAGAAACATTTTGTATGTGTCAAGAAGCATTTCAAATATACACCAATCTAATTGAAATACATCACAGTAAAGTCCCGGTTATCCAGAATTCCGTGTTATCCGGGCGCAGGTACTTTTTTTTTTTTTTATCTTTTCCAAGCAGGGCATTTTGAAAAATACCTATGATTGATAGCCTGTTCAGTTAAGAACTGCGTGCAAGCATCCAGCATGTTCGTCTCTCTCTAAACATCTTATTTCATATATTTCTATGAAATACAAAACGAACTTATTCAAAATAGATAAATACAGACGTTCATGTGTTTTTATTTAATTATGGAGCTTATATGATAAAATAGAGTTCTATATTATCCGGAGTTTTGTAATTTTTTAGTTTAGGGTCACGTACACTGAAACAATTAGAGTAAGTGAGAATGAAATGAATCAAGGGGTGAAGTGGATCAGTCTAAGCTTTTAGAGTCATATTGTTAAGAGTCTTTATATTTGTTTTTTATTCCTACGTGCCACTGATCCGTTGAAGTTTCTAGAAGTTAAGAAAGAAAGTACTTGGTCGATACTCGCATCAGTTTCGTCGAAAAAAATTGTTTTGTGTCCGTGCATGAGCGATGACAACACGTGAATACTTTGTAAATTAGCGTCAGCACAAGCAATAAACTGGAATATTACGCTTGTGATCACAAGTAAAAATAGAGAAGAATTTTTGACGATATTATGCTGTGGTAGGCCTAATGTGGCAGTAGTCAACAACTATTGAATAAAAATATTTTTCTTTCATACTGCATTGGGTATAAGATGATTTGGACCACTTTAAATGGGAAGAAATGGATCATTATAATTTATTAAAATTTATCTACAGAAGCTGTATGAACACGATAATAGACCATCTGTTATCATGTTCTTTTCATATTAACTTTTCATTTTATTCTGTAAATGCATTAGAACAGTATTTACAAATAAAATTAATCTAATATTGTGGCTTTAGCACAGCTGGATTTTGTATGGCTGGTCTCAAATTATACCCATTACAGGAAAGGCCTAACAGATAATGGGAGCTGGCCAAGTAGTCAGTAGATATAACTAGACAGAAATGTGAGATCGTGGCTCCACTGAAGGCTAAATTGCTACAAGAAATTTCCAAATAATGAAACCATAATGAAATTCTTAGGAGACAATCCAGAAGAACCAGAGCCCTAGGACCACTTAGTTACCTAATGATAATAAAGAACAGTGTTCTTATTTTTAATTTTGTCTCTGTTTTGTGCACATTAAAAGAGTCTTTTCCATATCAATCGTATAAAACGTGTTCTTGAATTGTTATATTTTTAACTATTTTAATGAACTGAGATTGGTTTAGAGTGTTTGAGTTTAGTTTTATTATCGTAACTGAAAAGCATACGATCATGTCACCTCATGTGGAAATTAACTATGATGATAGGTTCATGATGATTAAGTATGATGACGATAGTTTGACAAAATATTCACTATAATTATTCTCAATAAACCTAGGTGTTCATAAGTTATGGTCTTTCAATCACTAGTTGTGATATTTTTTATAATTTTTAAAATTTTCTCTGTTATAAAATTTTTTACAATAAGTGATTTTGCTGAAACTGATCCATTTCATCCCCACTTAGTATATGTCACCGCATACTGGACTGTGCAAGAGGATCGTGCCATCTGACTAATCAGTGTTGCCAATTATAATGTCCTTAGGGATAAGTTATACGAGTATATAGTAGGACTATATAGACTTAAAAAAGTCCATTATAAGGACATTACTTAAAAAACATAGCAACATTGGCAGTGCTATCTTTAACGCATGGGCACGCTGGGCAGTTGCCCAAGAACTCCATGCTGATTTATGCGCAGACCAGAATTTAACACTAATTTTCCGATCACCTGTCGGTTGTGTTTTGCCCAGGGACCTGCAATGGTGTTAAGACAGCCCTGAACATTAATTATTCCCATACTGGATTGGACTGGATTGGTGGAATGAGACAACGCAACACTTGGACAATATCCCATTGAAAATGGTATTTCCTGGGAAGAAATTTCTACGGAAAACTGGTCTATTTAGGTGTTAGTTACGTGACGAAAAACCGAAAACTACTTGGCCAGCTTGTTAGTGAGAAGCAAATTTGCAACCAACTACCGATTTAGTACTTTTATCTGCTAGTGGGCCCCACACTGGAGATCATTTTGTGCAGTTGCAGACTTATAGCGTCCATGATGCAAAACTTCTTAAACACAAATTTCTTTTTTTTCTCTCTCTCTCTCTCTCTATATATATATATATACATACATTGGTTCCCGTATATACACACAAACATACCGACGACACAACTGTTGCTGTGCAGTTGCTAGCCGGAGAAGTAACGACGGAAAAGGTGTTTCAACAATTTGTCGACTGTATACACAACCTCACAACCTTTGAACGGATAATCGAAACTCTCTATTATATCACGATATTAATTTCAAGCTTGAGAGAGTGCTAAAAACATTTTAAAATTTAATTTTTAATATGAAAAAATATATAATAATAGCTATTTAATTAAAAAAGATTACTTCTTCAACTGATGTTAATGATGTTTCTTCTGTCGATTGGATCTTGTCATTAGTTATAATGCAGCAAGGAAACTTTGATGATCTTTGTTATAATTTTAGTGTAATAAAGACGGGCGTTGCAAATTGAGAAGAGAATGTGATGAAGTTTGCAAAATTTAATGAAGTCGTACATTTCGATTTTCAGCTTTTAACTATTGTTTATGTTCAGTGCCGAACGTTTCTGAGAATTACTGTCGAGTAAAATAATGATTACGTCATTTTACATGTAAAAATATTTCAAAATAATTATTTTTCATATAATTTGTGAAATATTTAGCGTGTTCGTTGGAATTGTTTACGAATTAATTAATCACTTTCCTCCAAAGTAAAAATAACAAAGAATTCATTATAATTCTGTATAAAACCAATTTCCAGCAAATTATAATTTGATTTGTTATTCGAAACAAATTATTCATAAATAATTTTCGGTTTTATAAATAAGCATATACTGTTAGTACGGCCGTATTTGCCGTATAAGTTAAACAAGTTACAGGTTAGGGCCTAAAATTTTTAAATATATCATTTGGGGAGATAAAGGGCCTATTAGGCCTATATATTATACATTAGAGCCATAACAAGTCTAAGTACAACCCTGTATCTAACTCACATTTAAAAGTTATACTGTATACTAAGGTCTATACGAATTTGTTATGCTGTGATCGAACAAAGAATCAATTTGTAATATATAGTTCGTTAACTTCTATATAAAATTAAATTTTTCGATGAATTTTAATGAATGTAAAGAATGGAGAAATCAGCATTTCGAAACAAAATAATATATAGAATTCTACAAAATAATGTTACCTTGATTAGAATTTTCCGGAAATTTGTAGTTTCTAGATATAACAGATAAAATTTGCATGTAAACAAACAAGCTTAAATCAGTAAAAGTATTAAGAAAATATGAAGAAATTTCTCAAAAATGACGGAAAAAATTGCTTCAAAGTTAAGTAAATAACCCACGTAACCTGTTAAATTCTAGACTTATTAACCTATTTGAACCTTAATTAACCCATGAGAAAATGTTTACGTAAGAAAAATATAACTTTAAATTAACTCTCAAATAATTTGTAATTTAATAATTTATATAAATTTAAAGAATTATTAATAAAATTTTTGCCTGTTTTTTAATGATTTCTACTTCTTACATTACAAAATTTGATAAACTGTCATAAGGTTATTAGATCATAAGGTTTAAAGATCATGATGATCTTATTGTCATTATATGTAAAAGATATTGTGTATATAAATAAGTAACATCTTGTATAAAATTAGGCAAGTTATTTTTTTTTGTAAAATGTATTCAAAGTTATCATAATCAAGTAATAAATTATGAACACATTAAAAATATATGGTAGATTTTAGTAGCATATCAGATAATACAAGTATAATGATAATATATGTTTCTTGGCAAGAAGACAAAATTAACTATGTTAAGAGAAGTCTTGTCTGCATCATGTCTTGTCAAAACCTTTATAGAAAAAAAGAAAGGAAGAAAGCCTACCTCTCTCTCTCTCTCTCTCTTTATATATATATTACAAGACACATTAGACTATATACAGTGCCGCATTTTGTAAATGGCACCTCACTCCTCAGCTCAGCTCTCGACAGCCCTGCCTAAGGCATAAAATTTTCTGAAATAAAATTTAGGAACTAATGCTTTACTTTTTTTTATGTTAGTACATTCATTTATAATAAATTATTAATTGAATAACTACACATTATCTCAAATACAATGAACGAGTAATATAAGCTATAATATTGTATAGCAATGTGAATATATTGTAAATTTCAACATATTGCCGAAGGGATTCCAAAGTCTAATCAGGATTCAAGATTCCTAGAACACTAAATCCTGACTGTATATTATATATATATAATGTATATAAAGGAAAAGACTACATTCATTCACTTCTTTCTCTCATATCTTCTGTCTGTATACAGAAAATGTTTTGTAGTTTCTGTATGAGTACACAGGCTTTGTTCTTTGTATAAATATAAAAAAAATATCCATTTAAGTTTTATTATTCGATTACTATAATTCATATATTTTATTCGAACTTACCATTCATACCTTTTTATAAAAACACTTTACGCGAATCAAAGACAAAAAACAAAAACACATAAGCTTATTGAAGTTATTTTTTATGTGCGATTTTATTCGCCAAACTCTTGTTTACTATACAAAAGCAGTTATAGCATACCGATTGGAAAAGAATGATTTATAAAAATTCATTTATTAACATGTTAGAAGATTTTATAAAATTAGAAATAAAAATTCCAATTGATGAATTATATAATTCTTAATGTATGTGATGTATCGCTTTCTTGAAGCACTTTTCTCGAGTGATTTGTTAAATTAGATTATATTTGTTTCTTTTTGTCGGTGATGTATTAGTTATTTATGACATTATCTCGTAAATTACGTAAATATATCCATTCAGTTTGCTTATTGTACACTTTACTCCTCGTAAAGAAATCAAAACATTATCTTGCAGTGCGTTCTCCTTAATTAAGAAACATAAAAAATGTTATCTGTATTAATTAATAAAACATACGAAATATTTTCAATGTAATTTTCAAGTAATGTGTAATATTTTATATATTTTTATATACTTATTCTTCTATTTGAAAAATAAATAAATTGTTTTATTTAATAAAATCTAGCAAAAGGAATCGGTTTAGTTTGTAGGCGATTTGCCACGATTTATACCTCTTGGGAAGACTTTCTACGGAAAACTGCTTCCTATTTAAATGTTAGGTACGTGAAGAAAACCTCGAAAAACTCCACGAGGCCTGCCTGCTGATGAGGCGCGAACCCGCGATCAACTACCAGTGTTCAGTGCTTTTATCCAGTGTTAAAGAAAGTAAGAGAAAGAAGATATGAAAAAAAGCGAGAAGGTCCCACTAGGGTAAAGAAGAAATAGGATGAATGAGAAAGTATGAAAATAAATTCGAAATTTATTGAGAACTACTAAGAATTAAAATTTACATTTATAATTTGACCTTTAAAAATTAAAAATTTTAAATCTTAAAATAAATTTTTAGCTTGAAAAATGCTCAAAAACAATTTTTTTAAAATAAATTTTGGAAGATATTTATAAAAAATAATTTATAGACAAGTTCTGATACCAGTTAATGCGTAACTATAATTGTATTAGGTGTTAGCAGTTAATCACGAGACGTAACTGCAGAGACATTGCAAAAAGCTATCTGTTTGTCTTCCTGTTCAGTTGATAATAGGCCTACATCACTTTTACATGAGCGTTTTGTGAGAAAATAATATAATAACACTAGGATATCTAAATTTCACAATTGGATGCCATAAAAATTTATAGAACTGTATTCTCACGCTTTGGAAATATCGGTCTGAGGAGGGCGTTTATCCGAAACATGTAACTCTACTTGGTAAAGTTGCAAGAATATGTACCTTATTTCCTACAGTTGCAAAGCTTTAAGAAAAGATGTCATTATGCAAGTTTCATAAGAAATTATTACAAGTGAGAATAAAACGTAAATATTTTCAATTTTTCTTGATATTTGTCGTATATTTCAATACGCATTTATACTCGTAATTTATAGGATTTTTATCTTGTAAATAAACTTATGAGGATAACAAGGTCAAGTTTAAACNTTATGATTTTATTAGCAATTTTTATATTTTTATATAAATCTTTAATTTTCTTTCCAATTATTTATAGCCTAATTTATTTCATTCTTTCATTGAAAAAACCTTAATAAGCATTTACGTAATATTTTCAATTATAAAATAAATTCAGAATAAAAAATTTATAAATAATAATAAAATGTTTTATGAAACCATTTCTATTAGTGATTTTTTTTCTGAATATCATAATGTAAACCTTCAATAACTAATACCCCATATTGCTATTTATTTACAATTTTTTTTAAATATCTCTTTCCGCTCTACAGGCACTAAGAGGACCGTTTATTTTCCTATATCCATCATGAGCTCGGCCAGGCCCACAATGCAAGTGGCAGATGGCGAGGGACGGGTTCCGACATATCCGGGACAGATCATCTATGAAAAATTCCTGAGACGTCTGGATTCGATAGTTAGGAGTTAGGTTAAAGCCTCCTTTCCGGTCATCCAGCCGTTTTTATTACAGTTTTTCTAAACTATAAAGTAAGATTAATTTATATAAATATAATTTGATTATTCAAAAATTAATGTATCAAAGTCTATAGATAATTGTAAATAGATTTCGTTTGATAAAATGAAGCAACACAATACCTGGGCGATCTGTCAAGGAAAGATGCTTTCTATGGAAATTGACCTCTATTTAGGTGTGAGACAAGTGAAGAAAACCCGGAACTCTTTCATGCTCGGCTTGTTGTTGAGGCGCGAATTCACGCATAATTTTAGCGATTTTATCCATTCGGCCACTGGAAAACACCTGTGAATACAAATTAGGATTTATATTACTTTTCACCATACTGTCCTACTATATCGTTATAGTAAAGCTGTTACTATGTGTAATTACAACTACAGTACTATATAGCCTACTGACTTTTATGTACAGTACTTTACGGTTAGTACCTCACTAGAACATTCTCTCTTATCCTCTTACTCTTCCTTTCGCTCTCTTCCCTTCTTCAGCATTGGGCCTTGAGTAGGTATAATATATAAAAGTATTATTTACTTCAAATTTATTTTTCTTAATTTCGATAACAATGTTTTTCAAATAAATGTTTTAGAACCATTAATGAAAAATAAATCATAGGGAATTCGATTTACTTCAATAGTCTTTCCCAAAAGTAGACCACAGCTTCTATCTCATCCGTCTAGAATTAGAATTATACTTTGATGTTAAAAGTAATCACATTCCACAGTTCATAATAACACTTATCACGATTCTTTGAGATATATTTCGAAATATATATCTCGGATATTGAAACGGAAGAGACATTGATTAGTTCCTTTCATATAAAAAATGGACGTGTTTATTTTCTATTATCCGTTTCCTATCTGATAAACTTAAATCCATTTTGAAAAATACAGACGAGAAATACTAATAAATACACAAGAAAGTATAAGTATATACATATAAATTCATACATACATACCAAGGCCTGTCAAAAGACGATAGAGGGAGGCATAGTTATGTATATAGGCCTATATATAACAGCAAGGCTTTTTATATATTCCAGATTCAAAAACGCCTGCTGGTCGTTTTGAAAATCAAAACAGCCTTAAAAATTATATTTTTAATAATAGATTTTGACAACAATTAAAATTATTTTTTTCTTAACACACGAGAATTGCTATGAAATAAACAGTTTGTAAGAAATGTTCTTGATGTTCACGTAAATGTGAACCTTATTAACAACAGGGCCTCAAATTTACGAAGGACCAGATAAAACCCATCACACCCTATTAACGGGGCTCTTGAGATAAAGCCTTAAGCCTCTGTGATAAGGTCTGATGCATACATGCATATAACTTCTAAGTAAAATTATTTAATTATTTACAAGATTTAATTTTAATCTAAATTTTAAATTAAAGAAATGATCTGCAATGTTGACAAAGTGTCCATCGATTAATTGAATTTTTTGACAGCTTTCCCATTTCAATTTACATTGTTACGTAACCTGATCAGACGTTTGTAACAATCAGACGACGTTGTATAATCGAAAACAGAGATGACGAAGATCCAACCAGGCGTTAAATATTATATTTTAACTCGTAAATTTACGTGTGATAAGAATAATCAAATATTTCCCCACATTTTTTAGCTTTAAATAAAGTTAAAGGTGACAAACAAGTTCGAATGTTTGTCACCTTTAACAAATAATGAATCACAATTAGTTAAAGCCGAAAGTGAAAGATAAAGTCAATACCTGCCAGCTGAAATCACTAATCAGATTAATATTGCGAAGTATTCCTGGCTTTCTCTTCTAGAAAATTTGATTGTCAATTAATAATTAACTCAATAATGAATGTTTACTAATGGCACAAATAAAAATCTTTTATTCATTTAACTAGTAAAACTGTAATCGATTGAATCGATAAAAAGTGATTAACGTACCCAACAAAGAAGAAAGTAGTCGAAAAATGTGGAATGAAATTTCACTTTCAAGAAATAAAAGCTAAGATTAAGTAATTATTTCTTGCTGTAATTTAAAGGAATGAGCTTCCTAGAAAAAAAGAATTTCACAATAATTAGAAGTATGTTGAAATTTTATAAAAAATAATTTATAATGTCAAATATATTTGTACGGAAATAAATGCACATTAATGATTTAAACATCTCCACGATACCAATGTGTTCAATTTTATTTCGATTATCTCTCTTCTTGACATATTCAAGCAGCCTAAGATTCCTTGTATGTAGGAAATTTATAAAAAATAATTTATAGACAAGTTCTGATACCAGTTAATGCGTAACTATAATTGTATTAGGTGTTAGCAGTTAATCACGAGACGTAACTGCAGAGACATTGCAAAAAGCTATCTGTTTGTCTTCCTGTTCAGTTGATAATAGGCCTACATCACTTTTACATGAGCGTTTTGTGAGAAAATAATATAATAACACTAGGATATCTAAATTTCACAATTGGATGCCATAAAAATTTATAGAACTGTATTCTCACGCTTTGGAAATATCGGTCTGAGGAGGGCGTTTATCCGAAACATGTAACTCTACTTGGTAAAGTTGCAAGAATATGTACCTTATTTCCTACAGTTGCAAAGCTTTAAGAAAAGATGTCATTATGCAAGTTTCATAAGAAATTATTACAAGTGAGAATAAAACGTAAATATTTTCAATTTTTCTTGATATTTGTCGTATATTTCAATACGCATTTATACTCGTAATTTATAGGATTTTTATCTTGTAAATAAACTTATGAGGATAACAAGGTCAAGTTTAAACTTTCAACTTTAAATTTAGCTACTTAAAATTGATGTTTTTTTTCGGTTAGTAAAATATTTTTCTATGTCTTTTCAGACAAAACTAAAAAAATATTAAAAATTGAATTTACTGACTTTCGGAAACTGGTTTCGTTTCGAAAGTAAAGTAGCTGCCCACATGATGTTACGTGAAGATGAATTTTACATGGACAACAGTTTTACGAGGCAAGATTTTCGATAAAAACGAACTTATATATCAAAATTTATTATACAACAAATTAATTTTATGCAACGAACAAGAATTGTTTCTCTTGTAGTTCATATAGTTCATATATAAGTCTACATTATATAAAGTACGAGTGGACGAGCATTTTCTGTCGCAAAAAAGTTGTTCTTTCTTGAGTTTCAAATTCGTAAAAAAAGTGACTTTATCATGTATAAAATATGCACAAATCTTTAAAATTAAATGATAATGTAAAAGATTCAATTGTTTTATATCGATATCTCATATTTAAATGATGCAGCTGACATCAACTGGAAAAAAGACATTTATAAATACATAGGATTCGATTGATGGAATAAGACAACGTAATGCTTGCTCGATCTGTTAAAAGGAAACTTTCTATGAGAAACTAGGAGACTAGTTTCTCATAGAAAATTTCCTAGATATGTGAAGAATTCTATTTTTCTATTCTATTTCCGAAAAATTCTATTTTTCTCGCCTGCTAGTCAGATTTGAACCCACGACCAATGTCTAGTGACGTTATCTAATCAACCGATGAACTCTTATGGGCCTTATTGTAATGTACTTGTACCGTATATCGGCTAATGCATCCGTTAAAATTTTCTAAAATTGTATTCATGATTTTACATGACGTTTATGAAATTCTATTTAAATTAATGTTGAGGAGATCGAGACAAGTTGTCGAGGTTGAACAAGTCAAGATAACAGATTGTATAATGATTTACGAGTGGCATTATTGTTTCTCCGGATATATTCGTTTGTTCAAATTCGCATTACATCAATCCGTGAAAATTCAAGGAAAGACTTATTCACCCACAAAAGAATTATCTTTTTATATTTAGAATATAATTTTCTTTCATACGTAAGCTGGTTCATAAATTTAAACTTCTTACTTTTATCTTAATTAATTCGAATTTAACTAAAGTTCTTTACACTAATTATAAATTAGAATTATCTCTAGAGTTTTATCTATATAACCTATTAAAGATCAACTCCCAATGGCAGAATTCAAAACTTTTATCAGAAACTGAAAATTCACAAAACATATTGTAAAATTAATTAATTGTATGGATTTTCTTTTGCAACAAAGTTTAATTTTCATTATAGAATTACATGACTTTTTATTTTCACTTATGTACGCATCTTTTATTAATAGTTTCTTTGTTTAACTGTAAAAACAATATTATATTATAAAAATTAATATATTTATTTCTAAAATTAAAAAAAATATATTTATCTATTTTTCTACGCCTAGATCCATACTAATCACTTCAGGATCTAGGTAATCTAGATCTTGCAGTATGCATTATAGCATCTAAATATTTTGTTCATGCTAAGAAGTTTTAAATAGGCTTGTCTAGTTACATTAGTTCCCAAAAGGTACACTAACTCCAATGTTACAAACGGTGTAGACTATAATATGTCTGGAAACCTTGTGATAGATCCTCTAAATTTTCTCCACCACAGGTTTTCGGACCAAACTAAATCGCATTATAACTAGTCAAGGAAAGGTTGTAAATATCTCCTTTGTAACTGGAAGTACAGAAGCTGTTCATAAATTACGTAACGCAGATTGCGTGCTGGGTATGCATGGGTGGGTTTACTTACAATTTACAAAAACTTTACGTAATGCTGGGGTCTTAACCCTTGGGTTTATTTTTATTTTTGAAGTGTTGCTTAGAGAGCCATACTATTTAAGTCACTGCTTTGTTCGTTATACATGTAATTAATAACATAATGTAACGTTAAGTACCCCGTTCTATGTAATATCTCATAGTACAATTAAGGGAGTCGATCAGGATATACGTTACGTAATTTTGGGGTTAGGTCTGTACGACAACGTTACTGATTATTACAATAGTAGTTAAAAAGTATTATAAAGCGTCGTAATTTATGAACGATCCCAGAATCCGAACTATGAATTCCAAAAACTTTAAATAATGTAACACGTCTTGTAACACTACAATTGCTTGCTCCAAAATTCTCCTGTCGAACTATCTGAAATCCATCATCTATCTACTCTAACCAAGTTTTGAAATGGTTTGAAGAGCTCATCATTAAACTGTGAAATCTGCTTTCTTTCCCTATACGAATATATGTAATATATCAGAAAATAATTTTAAAATGTTAATTATTTTTCTACTNAAGTGAATAAAGTGATTTTAAATAAAGTTTTTATAATTTAATGTTTCGGCTTTAGCCATTTTAGCTTCCATCTGGGCAAATCCCATTCCAATGCAGTTTCTTGGACCAGATCCAAACGTGTCAAGCCATTGGACTGTTTTTGCTGCAGTTTTCTAACGAAAATTTATTTTTATTTTCAAAAATTATCAAAAAGCATAACTCGAAAATATTTTATCTTTTTGGAAATAAATTGTTTCGCTTCATACCAATAATCTTCTTGGTATAATAACAATAGATAAATTGAAATCTGAATAGCAATATCCTTAGGAATTTTTATATTAGAATATTGGAAAATTCTCTGCAGTTTCTCGATTTATAAAATTGAAATTTTAAAAATATTTTACTAAAATTTTCTTATTTCTATAAAGAAAAGTGCCTCTATTTTGTCAAATGGTAGCTACAAAAATTCAAAACTCTAACGAAATTCATCGTTTATTAAATTCAAAATATTGAATATTTTAAAATAAAATTGAATATAGAATACTGAAATTACTGAAACAACTTGAAATTATTTGAAAATACAGTGTACTCCCGATTATCACAACTAATTACCGGTAGTGGAGGTATGGATAAGTTGGAAACAGGTAATCCACAAGTCTGTTTTAATGACAGCTAATCGATTTTTCTTTTATTCAGTTTATAATTTCATTTTAAATCTAAATCAATAGTTTGTATATTATGAATAAAATACGTCTTGAGAAAGGTAACTCATTAACATTAAGTTCAGAAAAATGTAAAGAACTAACGCCACGCAGCTCATAATTAATTTCTTGTACCATAAAACCTGTCCATAACGAAACCCAAGTAAAATTGAAGCCTGCCTAAACAGGAAAAATCTTCGAAACGAAACAACCTGTTAAATAGGTCCAAAACGGAAACCTACCAAACCAGAAAAATATTCGGTACGGTGCGATTCCGGTTTACCCAGGTTTTACTTTACTATTAACCGACAATGAGAGGTTGTCGGAAAGATATTCTCATAAAACGTTATTAATTCTACGATAATAATGATTTATTGGTAAAGAAATAATTCAAAATATTTTCTTCATACAATTTTACAACTTATTTAATGAAAAAAAATAAAAACACAGTATAAACATAAGTAAACCCTTATTGTTTAAGGATCAACTGTACATATTGAGCCATTTATTGATAATTTATGCCTTGACGTTCAGAACGTTCTGACGCTCCACATACCATTTTAATTGTCAGGAGTTAACAAAGCAGATTTTTAAAAATTTTAATGCTAATATTTGTATTCTTGATGTAAATTTTTAGCAAAACGTAAGCATGGATAATCCGCAAGCCAGATAATCGAGAGTATACTTTATGGTTATATGTAAATGTAATATCGTAGAACCTCCAACAAAGGTCTCTTTCCAACAGCGCCCATCTCTAAACAGCAGCCACTCTTTTCAGGAACGTTTTTTTTTCTAATGAAAAATAACTTCCAAACAGCGGCCACCTTCGAACAACGACCGATTTTTTTTATGTTTTCTTTTTGTTTTATATCGTTTATGCGGCTATTTTTTCATATTTATGAATCTCCAATAACGACATTTCCCACACACGGCCACCTGTAAACGGCGGCCATTTTTTCAGGAACGGTTTCTTTTTGAAATCTTCGAACAACGACCAAGATTTTTCCGGTCAGTGGTCATTATTTAGAGGTTTGGCTGTATTGTACCTATAAAAGGCAGCAACTACACATTGTAATTTGTATACAAAGTCATAATTAAGACATACCTAAATATGAAAGGAAAATAATTATACAATTATATGACAATTAATTATTTAATCTCTCGAGACAAGTTACTGACTCTCTCCCGAGCAGTCCATTTACTTCTCCTCTGATATTCTCTTGCACTTCCGGATAGTTAACCAGCATCATGGTGCAGAAAGCAAGAGCTGTACTTTTAGTTTCGTATCTGAAATTAAGCAACATTAATCACTAGAATTTTCGGCAATAAACAAGCGTTTAGAGGTATTTAAAATATACTTTAAAAGTAGAAAAAGGAATGCATTTGAAATTAATTCGTCGGTGGTCAGATGTCTTGATTTCTTGCTTTCGTTAGTTTCTGCGATGTCTGCAACTGTATAATTAAGTAATTAAAATATTTTAATATAAATAAATGATTGTGAAATATAATACGGAATATTTTCTCATCAAATACATTAAACAGTAAATTTAATGAGAAAAATTTTTATTTGAACAAGAGATGTTAAACTATTCAATTTGAGTTTGAAAGTGAAAATATTCTTTAGCCTACTTATTAGCCTTTATATAAATTATTTTATAAAAGTATTACAACAGATTGAAATTATTTAAACAAATTATTTATCATATCAAATTGATAATAATTAAGTTTACTGTATATGGTACAATCATATCAATGATGAAGGTTAACGACTTTTCCAGAACTTGAACAGGATGAAGGGGACCAGGAAAGTCTTATTTTTGAGAATAGGACTATTTTTTTTTTAATCATTAACGACAATAATATTTGTTTTCAATAAGCTAGGAAAGTCGTACGAGTATTTTTATTGCTTGATTTCACTGGATATACAACTTTATACAATTTCAGTCTCTCCTCCATCTTGCTTTATAATCTTCAAAATGTAATTGCAAAATAACCCATATATGGAAGAATTCCTGCCAAATTTCAAAAATTTTTGGTCTATGGGGTCCTGAGATATAACCTAAAGCAAACTGTAGGCTATCACACATACATACACTAGAATTTTAATATGTATATTGTTTGATGTTTTCGGAATTAGAAGCCTTAAAACTTCTAAAAATGCAAAAAACATTGAGAGTCAAGACGGATTACAATATTTTCCTTCTTACGTAACAGCTGGTGAAAATATGGCTACTTAACAAGATTTATAAGAATTAAATACTTTAATCGTTATAGATTAAAATAATAATACTTTTATCTCATGAATATAATAAAAATCATTTATTTATACAAATTTCTCTGTAAATATCCTCCATAATTAATGATTTATCATCTAGTTTAAGATCTCTTTTTCAACTAAGCATTAAATAATTGTTGCAAGAGACAGATATTTCGCTAAATAATAATAATAATAATTAATTTTAATAATGTCCAAATTAATTATTATTGCAGACTTACTCTTCTTTCAGCGATGATAATTTTGCAACTTTCCAGTAATTCTACTAAAAGATTCCTATGTTTAGTGGCCCGAAATATGTTAAATTCTAACGGTTGTTACCATAAAAGTAAATTAACTGAACGAAATTAAAGTAACTTAAACAAACTACTATTAATTTTTTCAAAGAATTAAGTATCTTTTCAGTTAATTTAAGAGTTACATTATGTATCAAAAGCCTGAATTGCTTTAATATTCTTTACAAAGAATTTATGCATCCTCATTATATTAATATACTTTTTATCTTCTTTAATTAAAATAACATTGTAACAGCTATATAAAAAATTAAAAAATTATAAAATAAAGGAAAAATTCACCAAATTCTCTAAATTTTATAAATTTCAAAAACAAAATATTTAAATTATAATAATTAACTACAAAATTAATTACAGCCAAACCTTCAATAATAGACACCCCTAAACGGCGATTTTTACAGTCAAACCTCCCAAAAACGGCCAATTTTTTATTTCGATCAGTGGGCGTTGTTCAGAAATTTCAATGTATAGTTGAAATAATCATTTAAAAATTTTATAAAGAAATGAAAAAAAATAATACTAAAGAATATAAATATTAAAAAAAATAGAAAAGAAAATTGTTAAATTATAAGATATTTTTCATCGTTAAATATAAAATATCGTATTTCTTCAGTCATTCTTATATATAGATAATTCTATATATATTTAATACTACACAGAAAACACATGAAATAATAAAACAAGATCAATTATACAGTAACTAAAAGAAGAAAAATGAAGCTTTAGCTTTAATAAGTTTTCATTTTTTTCAACTTGTGTTCAACTTGCATTCAATATATTTTATACGGTATCAAACGTTATTAATTTCAACGTAAAAAAAATTACATAAAATGTAGTAAAGCCTTTTAAGTTGAATTCTCCTATATCCTATACACCCATCTAATGTTATAATATTACATATACTGTATAATAAAAACAATGCATTTTTAACTTTTAAAATGTCATTTAGGATTTCTTGTAATGAGGAATGTATAATGATTGTATCTTATAATGTATTTTATAAGATTACATTAAGTGTATATTTTATTAATATGTAATTAAAATTGCTTAGAAAGTTAGTTAATAGTTTCTCTAAATTAGATTGGATTGATGGAAGAAGGCAAAACAATGTCTGGAGAGGACATTATATGGAAAACTGGCTCCTTTTTAGGCTTTATACACGTGAAGAAAACACGGAAAACGTTACGTGGCCAGTCCGTTGGCTAGCGAATCCACCCAGTGTTTAGTGATTTTATCCACTCGGCCACTGGTGAGCCCGTAAATTGAATACGTTTTTATAGAACGAGTATCCAATTTATAACAATTTTTTCTTTCCATTCTCATAGAAAATTAACATTATTTTCCTATTATCCTGCAATTTCTAGCTATTTTAAAACACAAAAATAAAATATATTTAAGAGACGATGATGAAAGCATAACTTTCTTCTTATTATTTTAATTTTTTATTGATGCTATTTTATATATTACATCTATCAGCGATTACTTAAATCTGATAATAATTTATTATAAATGGTTTAAACAATTAAAAATATATAAATGATAACAAAAAATTAACAATAATAATAATATATACACAGGTCCATAATAATGTATAATATAGACAGCCCAAAAGTCAACTAACCATTGTAAAGACTAAATGGATCTCTTATTTAACTAGCTAAGTACTTATTTATACTTTTTATATTCTCACTAATTATATAGAAACACGCTGATCTAAATTCATTTATACGGGAAACACAAAAATATAAATAAATAAATAAATAAAACACTGATAACTCATTTTTGACCACTCTGTATTTATGCAACGAATTTTAGACATTTAATTTCTGAAAAATCGATTGTTCTAACTTTAAAATTTATTTTAAATTTGTCTAAGCCATTAGGCAATTCAGTAATAAATTTTCCAGAGATTAAACTCTTGAATTTCCTTATATCCTATATTTTACCATATTTTAATAATACAGGCGAACCTCCAAACAATGGCCAGATTGTATGTTCCCGTCAGAGCAGTTTTTCAAGGTTGAATGTATAAAAATAACACTCAAAAATAGAAAACATAAAAATAATCTATGAAAAAATTGAAATACATTTTATAATTAATAAAATATTTTAAAAACTTACTCTTTATCTGCATTTAATAGAAAATTATAATTGAAAATTGAAAGCAACCTTCAAAATAACCTATCAACAATGACCGCTGCTCAGAGATTTCACTGTATATTTTAGTTTAAAATAATTATAAAATTTAGAAATTTTAATTAATATTAAAAGAAAACTACAGCAGAATTTTTCTATATTTATTTAAAAATATCCATCCAATAGCATTTATTATTAGATCATTGGAAAATAATGTAAGTATGGGAAATTTTACCGGATTGGTTATTTTATATTTAAATTTTCAGTTTGTCAATAACATCGTTCGTGATAGGCGACATCTGTTGGCGAAAAACTTTATGTTTATTTATCCTCATTTTGTTGACGTCAGCAAAAGTTGTGTATTCCGCTGACGTAAGCAGAATTGAGTTTGACAATTCCGTTTATATTTCTCTTCATAATTCCTATTCTTTTCTCGGCTCGAAAAACATTGAGTCAGACAAAAAAAATATAAAAAATTCTTTCTTAAGCGAAATTCTTTCTTTAAAGACAAATATTTAATATCTTAAAAATATTTCAATATTTTAAATTTATTCAAAGAATTAAACTATAGCCGTTTTATATACTACGTATTAAGGCATTTAAAAAAATAAATAAATAGATTAAAATTTTGTGTATAATTAAGGCATTGTCAAATACTGTTTTTTATTTTTTAAATAAGATTTTATTATTTATTTAATTGAATGTGAAAAACTCACTTATACACACATATATATACATTATCTAAGAGTTTACTCTTCATTACACAGGGATTAATGTAGATTTGACGTTTAAATTTGGCTTCTCGATATAGGCTCTAGTTATTGTACTGTGTATTTTTTAAAATTTATTTTATCATATTCTTTTTTTATCCATTACTTTCAATGCCTTCGTAGTTTTTCCAAGTCCACTTTAATCGGATTCTTCTATTTCTTCCTCCTCTTCCTCCATCTATTTCTGATGTTTCCTCTTGACCTAATGCCTACAATTGTCTATTGATAGTATTTTCTGTCATTCTTGATAATAATTTGTAACTTGTTATCGTTAACTTTATAAATTTCCAAAAAATTAGCTATAAATAAATTACAAAATAAGTTTAGAAATTTGATTAATTATAATAGAAATCATACGCGAATGAATGTAGCTGACAGCTACCATTTGCATTTTTTTTAAATAAAAATTTTGAAAAATTTTAATTATCAGTAAGATAATTAAAATATTATTATTTATAAAAGTAGAGTTAATATCATTCATTTCTTAATAAGAAAGCAATAAATTTAAATACAATGGCTACTAATGGAAATATAAAAATCTCCGTTGTTCGAAGGTTATTTTGCATGCATTTCGAAAAGATACGTTTCTGAAAAAATGTTCGCCGTTCAGAGATGGCCGTTGTTAAGAGGTTCGACTGTAATTATAAGCCTCCGCCAACGGATTTGTCTTCAACAAATCATTCTTTGCTGTATAATTAAACAGTGTTTTCAAGTATTGATTTTTTAAATTAGATCGTTCATTTGTTTGTCTTTATCTAACAATCTCAACTTCAAGTTTTTAATAGTAAAAGTCGAATGATACGATACTTAAAAATGTACTGTACGTGCATTTATTAAAAGCGTTATTATTACATTTATCATTATATTTTTGAGATTTTATATCGATAAAACTACAAGTTTTAGATACATTTATATAAGTTTTAGAGAGAGAGAGAGAGAGCGTCAAAAAGATGAGAACGGGTCCAGGCCAATCATAAA